TCTAAGCAGTATCTCAGAGTATATACTTTATCTTAACAGCATTTGATTAATATACGGGTGACACAGGCTTTGAGGGTGGGATAGTTATCTCAACAGCACGTGGCTGTTCTTAACCTCGGGAGACCTTACCTCCTGTTCAGCCTCTTCCAGGAAACCCTAACCAGATCAGGAAAGAGACAGATTAGGTTAAGAAGTGAGAAGGCCAATGACAAAGAACCAGATGATACATATTGCTTAGCATTGTATAGGTGATCCTGGCCTATCAGATCACTAAGACAAAACAACAGAGGTTTTGGAAACAGAAATCACCTTTAATTTGATGATGACATGATTATTTACATAAAAAATCAGGAGAACCTCTAGAAATACCATTAGCACCAGTACAAGAGTTTATAAAGTCTTTGGATATAAAAATCAACATGTGTAAATTGATAACATTCCTGTAAATAGAAATAACCAATTAGAAGCTGTAATAGAAAAAGAAGATACTATTTATAACACAAACAAAACTACAGGCCATGCAGGAAAAAAGTCCAACAAAAGGAATATGTGAACTTTATAGAGAAAAACTACAAGACAAAATTAAAGGCCCTGAAATGTGACTTCTACAAGTGGAGCTAAATATTACATTCATACAGTCATAGTTTCAATGTCACAAATATGTCAGTTCTTCCCAAATTATTTGATCAATTTTAGGTAGTCCCAATCAAAATTCGTAAACTGCTCCTAAATTTTATATGGAAGATCAGAATGTCAAGGATAACCAAGACCATTTTGAAAACTGACATGTGGAATCATACTTTTACCAAACAAGACTTATTATAAAGTTATGGATTGAAAGGGAACATGAAGAAGTGAAAATAATTCTTAAGATGGTGAAACTTTTCTTTCTTTAACCATTTTTGTTTGTGGCCTTGCTTTTAGAAATTATAAATAAATATATGGCCAGGCGTGGTGGCTCATGCTTGAGCCCAGGAGTTTGAGGTTGCTGTGAGCTAGGCTGATGCCACGGAACTTTAGCCCAGGTGACAGAGCGAGCCTCTGTCTCAAAAAAAA